AATTATATTCACACAATCTGACTAGTTACAAAGCAGGTCAATGATTCAACCGTGTTCGGTGCCGCGGGATTGCAATATAAGTCATAAAATAACTCGGTATTCATTCGCTATGAACAGTTTATTTCAAGACAATCTGGAGTGACATATAATATGCTACATCTATTATGTTGAACTTATTGCATGCACTATATTTGAATATGTTAAATACACACAAGAAATCAGTAGTGCATGGTATTGTGTATACATCATCTGTCCTTCTCTACCACGCGTATATAATATAGTAGAATATAAACTACTGTTTTCAGCTGAGATGGGACTCTCGTTGAGGTACACTTCTAATGAAGAAAATCGGTTGCTATAAATGGGATACAGATATATGACATGTTTGAAATAAATATATGTCATTTATAATATGTGGATATGACACTGGCTCATTTGATGCAACAATATACACTTCATCCATATATGTCAAAAGAACAGTCGACCTGATACCGAATTGATACATTAAAAGTATACTTAAGTGCTTGTAACAACGAAAAATAATTCCTCGGCCACTGTTGTTGATCAGGCATTATGTCATTTGCTAACTGTATGAATGCAGGACGATCCATACCAGTGATGGAGTACAGTAACTATAAAGTTCATTGCACGTGCTGGTATCTTCTTCGTTAATATATGTACCATAGTTCTAACCTCCAGATATTTCAGGTAAGTAATATTAATAGTATGTCTGGTTTTCCTGTCTGGTTTTCTGAATTTCTTTTCGTGGCAAAATAATGGAGATCCCAATATGTGTCCAATATGGTGCAATATGCCCATAAGGCAATAACATAAGCATTCGACACTCAATAGGTCATGATATAGTCTCTAAGGTCCTTGAAGTAATTAATCCATCAATCATTACCCTGCTTCCTCATCACACTACACCAAGCCTCAATCCGTCGATTTGAAGTACTTTAATCATAGATAGAACTTTTTTTACCCCAGCAAAGTTAACAGCGTCATTCCATCTGAAAAGAGGTTACAAGAATTCATCAGTTTTAAGGTCAGATCTCAGAATTCTTGGAATACCTCCACTGTGCATTGTAGAGGTAGTAGTTTGCAATGATTCCTGGGTTGTTGTTGCGAGATCCATCAATGCTGTGTCCACCAATGGCACAATGTACTGCGATCCCAAATGGGTTGAGTTTATAGTGACCGTCAATGTGACAAATAAATTTGGTCCCGGTGCTACATGTGCCCATGTTTTGTGTGTCTCTCAATCCATCAAGATCAAGTATATTAAGTAGATCAAGAACTAAATCCCCGGTCACCATATTAAACCATATTTGAGTTTCAACCTTTCCACATGGCTGTATACTCAATACATTTACCACTGGCTTGTAGCTCTGTCTCGATAGCTGCATACAAAATGACAGAATGTCATGTAATCATACAGAGTTGAATGAACTGTTTTCTGAATTATTATTGTGATGAAATCCAATCCACTCCAGGAAGACATTTTCATGCATTATTCGGATGGACACTAGTGATGTCAGAATTCTTTGTAATATAAAGATTAAAAAAAGAAATATAAAAAAGTAGAGAGTAAGGGAACTCTGAAGTGCGAATTATGAAGTGAGGGGTCAGGTGTGAGAAGTCGGAGTTTGGGAGTGGGGAGGAAGAAGTGGGACTTTCGGGGCAAACATAACATAAAATTGTATCTGTATAATTAAAACAGAGAGAAATCAAATTTCAGTCTGATTCAACACGACATAACATAATTTAATGATCAATAATATATCTATCGAACCTGAAAAAATTATAAATAATATCATTTTAGTAGAACCAACGTTCCTAGCATTTTCTCTAACCCGCATATCAGGGAAAAAATATGTCAATGTCCACTAAGTAGTGGAACCAATTGTAATGATGAGACTGATGTTCAATCTGTTTGAGTAGCAGTTTTTCACTTATATTTTACTCACAAGAATGAAGGAACTACCAAGGTATT